AATATACTTTTATCATCAGGATCTCTTTCCAGTTGCCATTGTTTAGAAAAGAGTGCAGTGAAAAAAGTATTTTTTTCACATGTTAATGTTTCAACCCTCGTAGAAAATTTCTCACCTCCAACATCAAGCATAACTTTGCCTTGAATTGATGTTGTCGCTAATTTAACTTTGATATCTTTCCATTCTTTTTCTTCATTTGATGCATTAACTAAGTTGTTTTCTAAGACCGTAGTCATTTCTGTTGCTTGAGGATATAATTTTTTAGCAGATTTAATACAATCACTACATTCATTTAACTTTGAAATAACCTCCTCGCGTAACGTGTCGAAACGAGTTTCAAGATGATTGACATTGTCTCGAAGAGTGTTTAAATTGGAATCTGTATTCTCCTCTTGGTTGGACATAATTACTCTTTTAAGTATTGTGTTTTGCTTCTTGTTACCTTTATGACTGAAGTCGATTGAAAACTTGCTTGTCCTTTTATATCATCTTATCAATTATCACGGTTTATGTTTATAAAAGACGTCATGTCGTCATTAAAATTATGAAAAGGGATAATTTCAATGATTCATAGAATGTCAATGTTTACCTGCGCCGTTTGTTGTTACTTATCTAATCAAGAATTCACATACCTTTTACAATCTTCTTTTTTTTTCCTTTGAAAAAAACCCAGTCCATGTGTTGTGACTATTGAAAATTTCCGTTTACTCTTTCATATCTGTTTGATGCTGGTACATCGAACGTTCGTCATTGATACTTTTTCGTTTTTATGTACCGTTTTAGATTAATTTTCAATAAAACTTCCTAGATATTGATATGTGTATTTGCTCTGATGACTAATATAAATATAGCATGAAAAAATACTATATATTCGTTGGCTGCTCATCTATCTATATTGGATATTAACCATATCTGTAGAAGATTAAAGAAGTAAACTTACTTGAAGCATAATAATATCAAATTTAGTTAAGTTATGTTAATGAAGAAGTAATTGGTAATATTGAAATCACATCATTTCATACTAACACATTTACTTATAAACAAGGTTGAAGCAATTATGTAGATAGTTTGTTCTATGCAAAGGTAGATACAATAAAAAAAAAGGCCGATATAGGCATACGAGCACTTTAAACAATAGTTCGATATAATTCTAAAGTAATACTAATGAATCTGGAAATCTCATTTTTTTTGTCTTTCAAACAAGATTAATAACAATTTTATTTAAAACTATTTAGAAAAACGAGAAATTTAATATGACATGGGAATCGAATATCATCCAAATGTCTTGATGATTTATTGTGCATCATCTAACACATCACCAATGTAGTTCTGACCAAAATTATCACATATGTTAAACTTGAAATTTGAATTCAATTTTCAAGTAAACATAGGCACTCTCCTGATGTAGATGCCTCGAAAACATAGCCGATTGAAAGTTGAGACCTGAATAGTTACTGTTCAAATGAATTTAACTTTCAACTTTGACACTACTGATCGAAGCATGGTCAGCGAGTCTTGAGAGCTAAACATTCATATTTCGAATAGTACAACAAGTGTACAGTATCTAAACATTGTCTAGTACAAATAGAAAAATATTTCATCTCGATCAAATACTTGAAAAACATAGGCGACTCTCTAAGTAGTATTTTCAAATCATTTAAAACACTTCAAAACGCAGTGATTTATAGTCTACTTTACATTAGTAGAATAATAGTGAAGAAACTTCGGATAATTATTCTGCTAATGCAAATTTATTTTTGAGTCGATGTTTAGTAGTTCATGTTTGAGTGTTGTATTCACTTATCATAAAGTAGCCACACATGATAGCCATGTCCATCACTGCCAAAATTTAATAGTAAAGCTTGAAAAACTCCAAAAAAAACGTTATTTTCTTCTATGTTAGGGTTCAGAAAAACCTACGTAATATCCTTAAATCTCATCATAAAATCAATAAACTGTAGTGCATTCACTTTGCTCTATAAATCACTAAACTAATAAATTTGACCAAAATTATCATTTTATTCTAATATGTAAGTAAAAGGAAATTTAATTGTATATCCGCTCTGCTTGCTTATTCTATTTATAGAACAATTGTAGAAAATGAAGGAAACATGATATTAAAAAACTTTGGGAACATGGTTTGTAGTAAACGTCATGGACTAGTAATTGATAAGAGCATACTATGTTTCGCATTGTTCAATCTTCGGAAAGAAATAAGTTACAAAATTGATAACTTTGAAAAAAATTGCAAAGTTTTAATTGTTTTTGAAACAAGATGTTTTTTTATCAACAAACAAGATATTGTAAGATATATATACAATGTTTATTACCGGTATCAATACTGTTCGAAAGATAAATAGAAAAGAGATGTTAAAACGCACGATGGTCACTTCGGACTTTCCACAAAAACTAAACCTTTAGTTTTTCAATGCCTACAAATAGGGATATGAAATTTGCTCATATCACACCAAATGGTAAAAGCAAATCATTCTCTACAAAGCGAGACATCGCCGAGGGCAAAGGGATAAAAAGTTAAAGTTTTCATATCTTTTCCATTATGTTTCATCTGATCAACACTAGATTTAATACTATTGATCTTACTTATGGTTGTCTCAGGAGGTTTCTTAAGAGTATTTTCAGCTGAATGTCCTGCATCTGATACAATATCATCTTTCTACTAAACAAAGAAAAAAAAACAACATTTTTCAATAATCAAATTCATTCTTGTATATAATTAAGAAAGTACGTGTAAGATTTTTAGCCATAATATTTTTATTATTTGTTAATTAAACAAAAATTATAATTATAAAAAAGAAAATCTAGAAAAAAAAATTCAATTTTTTACTTATCAATCTTCATATTACTCGATGTACATCTAAGGAAAAAAATAATAAAATACATAGACAAAATAATTCAATAGTCGTACACATCATGTAGTCAGTTACACGTACTGGTGTTATAACGTACAAAAAAAGTCAATGAGTACTTATAGAGAATGAAAAAAAGAGGTTCTATGATAGAATACTCTTGATTGTTAGTTATCTATTCTTGAGATTGATGTAAAAATAAAATAGAATTATTTATGAAAATCAAAAGAAATAAAAATTAGTGACATCTGAAAGTAACTCTCGTACTCTTTCTATTACTATTTGTATCATACTGTCAGTTGCTATAAATACTTGTCAAGAATGTTTTTTTTTTTGCACTTTCTATATTCTCTAATGAAGATAGAATGAAAGATGTATGACATAATCTTATCATTATTTATGAATACTTGTTTGTTTCTTGGAGCAAAGAACTTTGATCAATACTTTTGCGTATTCAATAAAAATTAAAATAATTCCGTTGGACAAATGAAAGATAATCGAGGCGTTAAAAAGTTTTTGCACAACATGTCTGGTCGATTTTCGAAATTTTTTTCTGGTTATAAAGCTTATTTCATTGAGAACAAATAGCTAATGCTGATCAAAAACGATCCATTGTACAAAACACAAAATTAAAAGAAATATGTTTGCTAATTTTTCAGACATTTATATGCTATTGAAGAGAAGATCGAAGGCAGTTAGTTAAAATATAAATTTGATGCTCTCTCTAAACGAATGTTCCGATTTGTTTTTTTTTCTCTGTCATTCATAATGTCTGTAGATGAATTTTTGGGATAGTAATTTTGATTTTCTAATATAGTAGAGAGACTTTCTTACTGTTTGGATTGAGGGAGTTTTCGTCAAAATACACAACTAAACACTACATGCTATATTCTGTACAGACGTCGTTTTTTGTTCTCCCTTAAAGATTTGCTCCAAGTGAACTAACTTTGCGTCAGATGAAAATTCTAAGTATTTAATTATAGTCTACATGCAAAGAATAAAGCCAATAATGTCATAGAGACAAATAGCATGATAAAACATGATTATTTAATCATATATATACACTAAGGATGGCACATTCTCAATTGTCAAATCACTTCACATTTGAAACCATAACCATTCCATCGACCATCATGAACAATGAGAAAGTTTATATTTGTGTGGTTTTTCGATCTTCACTAGTCTTAGCATTTTACTCGATTTTTGTCCTATTAGCTTAGGAGCGTTACCCACCTAGATGGTCGAATTTCCAGCTAAAATTTTGTTCATAGATAGCCTACATAGTCACTAGAGACACTCCAAAGTTCAAGCCAGAATAAAGTATCCTTATATCATGAAAATGTTCGTCTTCTGAAACATAGATCAAAGCAGACGTTTCTTTTAAAATGTAACGATCTTTGCGATGATATGCTTGCAATGGTTCAAATATTAAGTTATGTCTATTGACCATAAAGTATATCTATAAACAGAATTTTAGCTCAAAATTCGATTCTTCAAGTTCTCAGCGATCTTTTGCTCATAGACGAAAAATTGACTAAAATATCTGTAACTTGATAAGTGAAGACCGGAAAAACAAACTTTTTCAGTGTAAATCAATAACCGATCGAATGGGAATATTTTCAAGGAGAAAAGCATTTTGATAGTTGGAAACATTTCCTCGTAAGTTTACTTCAAGTCAATACTTTTATAATGATAAATTACCACAAATAATTTTGCAGAAACATAATAAAAACGTACTTCTTTTGCATACTCGCACTACATAACTCAAAATCAATTCACTTTTTACACACTTATGTTTCAATTTAATCGATAAATCAAATTTTTGATTATCAAGAAAACTACTCATATGATTCGAACTAGACAAAAACCAATGGTACTTTGATACTTAAACGGTTGGCTATCGTTTGACTGCAGCATACTGACGGTAGTGCAAACAAACGTGTGGGTGTCCTTAAACTGAATATCAACACCTACACTCACACTCCATCCTATATCACCGAAAGGGCCGAAGCGTGCATCGATCAGATACTATTCTATTGGTATCGAACATGGATGAATAAAAGTGACACTTTCTTTATACAAAATTCAAAGAAAGAAAATAGAAATGAATGACAATGATGAACATATGGTTACTTTCTTCACATATCAATTCTTATTTAATTTTGACTTGACTCGTTGGATACCCAAATCGCTGCCAATTAGTTGTGGATGATCAGCTGCGAGAGTCTTATGAAAAATGCTAGACGCTTTTTCAAAATATAAAAGAGCCAAGTTCAGATTATCAGCGGTTTCATAAATGATACCCATATTGTGATAGATTATGGCAATATTGCGATGTTCGGAAGGAAGAGATCGAAGTGATATGGAAAGAGAACGATTATAATGTTCGAGAGCGAGATCTAAATCACCAAGACATCTGTAGATAGTACCAATGTTATTGTGAGACTCAGCTAGACTATGATGATCCGATGGAAGAAATTTTTCGTTGAGTGTGAGAGCTGCATACAGATAATTTAACGCTTCTTCGTATTTCCTCAATCGTTTCCAAATGAGAGCCATATTCGTATAGCATGCAGCAATACGATGATTACTATCCTCGTTGTTGACTTTTTGGAAAATGTTCAAAGCTTTTTCCAGCGATTCGAGCGCTCTTTCTAGTTGATTGGTTTGCCAATAAATGATACCGATATTATTATAAATAAAACCGATATCTGGATGATCAGGAGAAAGTTTTTGTTCTAAAAGCTCAAGTGCTTTTTGGTTCCATCCAAGACTCATTTGATAATCTCCTTTTTCAGCAGATAGAACTGCTAATCCTTGGTAGCTCTCTGCTAAATTGGAATAATCATCAGTAGATAATTCTCGAAGCATTCTTCGAAAAAAACGTTCAGCTTGGTCGAATTTGCCTGATATTGATAGAGCAGTACCTAATGAAAGTAGATTGATGGTTGATTCTTTCTTTTTTGTCATATGGTCATAAAGTTTCATAAGATCATTTTCTTCTTCCTTGCAAAGAACTAATCGAATAATCCATAGTCCATCTACTTCTTCAACTTCAATAAGACGAAAAATACTTCCAGCCATGAAAAGTACTTCTTGTTCGTCATTGAAAAAACTTCTCTCGCTAATTTCAGCGAATGGTTTACTATTCTGTATATCAGAACCGGCATCGATTTCGAATAGAACTCGCTTTAAACTATTCTCATTTGGATCTGCATCACCCAAAATAAATACGACATAATCTCGATTAAGACTAGTTGAAAAGAACGAATTTATTGAGATTATTTTACCAACAGAACCGACAAGAGCAGCAAGTTCATCATTTGCCAGTAGTTGACCACGATAAACTCGAATCGGATATACGATTTGGTTTTCTTTTAATTGCGTCAATGCTCGATGAATATCTCGAATGAAGAATCGTAAAAGAAACAAAAGATCAATATTTTGAATACGAAAAGCTTTGTTGAGAATACGATAGAGAAAAGATTCTCTTGTATACCACCAGATGGCCATATCCGAACAGTAAGTATTTTCAAATTCGTGAAGAATATTATATTGAAGAGAATTACCATGATATTCGTTTTTACATAATTCTATGAATTCATCTTTATCATTTAATGATGATTTCATTCGTATAAGAACATCAATAAGAAGTTGAAAATGAAGATAATTTCCATTGATATCCAACCATGATTTTTCTTGTTCTCCATCGACACCATGTAATACGCTGATGGAAAAGGGTTCTTCGACTTTCTCACGCTTGACATGATCATTTGTAATTTGAGTTAACAATTCACAAAGTTCTGTGATTACAGGTTTGACCTATATATAAAAAGACCTTTCTGTATATATTCATGATCAAAAATCAAATGTCTATTTTTTAAAAATCTTGTAATTGACTATTTTGAAGAAAAACGAAAGTCAAAACTTAGGTCAACTTTTCGCATGAAAAAGAAATATCTTAGTTTCAAGAAAAACATAACTTCCTGAATAGCTGTGGACTAGTTACTTAGAATAGTATGGCCTACTCGGAATCAATAATATAGTTTAACAACTGTGAAGCTTTGCGGAGCTTTCTCTATTCAATCTATTAAACGCCTCTAAATCGAAATATGAATACCAAACTGAGAAGTTTCAATGAAATTTCTCACTCAATAGTGATTAAACACGCAAAAATTCTCACTTTCGATAGTAGAAACAGGATATCGTTGGATTTTTTCAGAATAATATCTTAAAATGCTTTTGTTTATTGTATTTTTCAAAACAAAAAAAAATAGTTTTCTACCATTGGCCTACCTTGAAGTATTCATTGGTCCAAGCGGCACATTCGTGTTGATCAATACAATACAAATAGATTGCTCTGACTTGTTGAAGACCGTGAATGTAACTGATTACTGTTCGACTGATTTGTCCACTAAGAATGAGAATAATGCGATCTGCTGATGACTGTTGTATGTACTCTTCAAAATTTTTGACATGATCGAATATTTGCATGTGATTAATCGTAGATCGAAGCTGTTGATGAGCTTCTTGACGATTCACTGAAAACGAGTTACCTGGAATGTCCAACCAAAGAACAGAAAAAGTTTCCAAATTTGCATCCATCTGCTGCAAATATCGGTGTAGAATTGTTGTTCGATCTGTATTTCACTGCTCTGCTTGCGTTATTTTTTTCATTTTATACAATGTTTACACACACTTCCTTTACCAACGCATGTAATTAGTAGGCTATGTTTCTTTTTTTTTCGATCTGATAGCTCTCTAATAGGGCCATCATTTATGAGTCGTTATTTTTTTTATTACTGATGTAATCAAGAGACGTGAATCATTTCTTCTCAGGAGTCTCAAAGAGTCGATAAGTAAACATGCAATGTGTAAACTGACTGTATATGCACGCACTTCTTTTTTTTTCAGTTCTGATCATCGAAAATGCATTTGTATCGAATAGAAGAAGAAAAGCTTGGATGTGGGTGTGAATGTAGGAGAAGCATTGATCAATGCTAACACCCTTATAATTTTGAATCTTATTTAGAAATAATTTGGTTATAGTCACTAGCCAACACAATTTTCAAGATAACTTAAGACTTTCCATATAAAAAAATTACAATAACACCCAAATTAAAATCAATTAAAATCTAATGCTTTTAATCGATTTTTAATCATATTTTAACGGATTATATTTGAAATGAACCAAAAACAATCAAAACTTCATTAATTATTTTGATTGATTTTGATTATAATTAATTACAGCTTGATGAAAAATATATTATAATTGATACTAACGAAGATAAATTGGTTAAAGATTTTTTTGTATTTATCAAGAAGAAAAACCAATTAAAATCGATGTGTTTTGCACAATTCTTAATCAATTATAATCGAAATTAATCACAGAAATCAATGGAATTTAGATTATTTCCCTTATTTTTGACTATAATCATTTTTTAATCGATTTGAATCTGATTGCTACCCTGATTTTTTATATGAGTTGAGACTAAGGTGCGGGTGTAGGTGTGAGTGTGGAGTGTAGTTGTGAGCGTGGGTGTCAGTGTCTGTGGGTGTGATATAGGCGTCGTCCTTCTATTCTATGATACCCACAGCCACAGCCATACCCCACACTCACATCCTTTTTGAAAAAAACAAAAAATCTTTTTCGTTTTTTCTCATTTTATAGGTTTTCGATCGTATCTCCAAGACTTCTCGAAGGAACCTCATTGTAGCCAATAATATTTTTTTTGTTGGAAAGCTTGTATCTAGGACTAGCTTCCTTCGGGGTCTTTTTAAAAAAAATTCCATTTATTTTCATATAAGAAAACACTTCTATAAAAACAGCGCCATTTTTTTAGGCGTTTTTTGGGTCATTAAACTTGTCGTTCCTTGTTTTTCTTAAAAAGTAAGAATTTAAAAAAAAGGACCACGAGAGGGACTAGCCCTACAGACAAGCTATCAAACAAAAAAAAATTTAATATATAAAATGAAAGTCCATAGAGAAATCTTGGAGATACCAAGGAGCTATTTTTGACCGTTGTATGGTGAATATCTGTGTTAAACATCATGATATGGGGCTGAAAATTTTACCATAGCCATCTCAACCGGCCATTCGATAGGTATTTCGACGCGTCGATTTTGGCTTCCGTTGGGCATCGAAATTTCAAATCGATCCCTGGGATTGCCATTTTCCGATGGGTCGAGGGCGCGGCGATAGGTTGTTTTTACTAGCAGTTTTCAACCATTCGAATAATCGTTTCCGATGGATCGGAATTTCATCGAAAAAAAGAATTTTTATCCGATAGATGTCTCAATTTCGAGTTGTCCAAACCCATCGAATATAAATTTCGAGTCGTCGAAACCTATCGAACATATGCGGAGAAGTAGATTTGAATATGGGTATTTACGATTCACTTTCCTCGAACAGTTGATCTAAATACGAACTGTTATTCTCGTATCAAAACGACCTTTTTAATTCATAAGAAGGTAGTACTTTATTTCATGCTTCCTAACTTTTAATTTTATTTTTTGAAAACTGAAAGTAATATTTTTGGTCCAGAGAGAAAAACTTCGTTTAAACATTAGAAATAATATTTTTCATCTAGAAAAAAGATTATTTTTTTGAACAATAAAAATAATACTGTTTATCGAGAAAAATTTTATTATGAAAAAAATTTCATCAAGAAAGAAGAACTTTTTATATGTCTATAAGTGACACAAGAACTTTTTTTAGTTTAAGACTTCGTATACATCACTTATTGAATAAATATGACGTGCAATATGTGATAATCAACCGATTTGCACGTGGAAGCATGAGATCATTATTCAGTCTTTTTTTTTTAAATTCACAACATGAAAATTCATTATTACTATATCTTAGTCAAAAACACAGGTGAATTTTAGTTTTAGTTTATTTCAATCGGTAGACGATAAATTTCGATCAGAAAATTGTAAAATTAAGGTGATTTATGAAGCAAACTTGAATAATTCTACTAAAATTATTGAATAAAAATAAAGAATATTTTAAAATCGGATTTTGAAGAAGTTTCACATGATCAAGATTATAGACTCCTCTGTCAAGACTGTTTATTGTGATTGGTTTGACTCTTTTGAAGAACTCAAAATGGTCCTTTCAATATGTTTGTTTTAGTCGAGAGATTAAAATGTGTTAGAGGCGTCGGTAGTATTATTTCGATAGGTGACTTCTCTCGGAGTACTCGAAATTTCGATGAGTACCGAGGTGTCGAAATATATACGACGAGTCGAAAATGAGTCGTGGATAGGGCACAGTGTCAGAGTGCTCGAAATTCGATAGGTGTCGAGGGGATCGAAATTGAAAGAGAACGAAAAAAACATATATATAAATGGGGGTGACAAATTTGACTGGTACCCCGTTTTGATACAGCCCTATTGTAAGGATAAAACCTACTATTGTCCGGGCCATATAAGAGATGATCCTACATAACCCTAGATTGGCTCGAACAACACCATGTTTTACCCTTACAATAGTAAAGAAAAGCTACCAGCTCACACGATGGGGGCTAGTAGTTATTCTCTACTATTGTAAGGATAAAACATGGTGTTGTTCGGACCAATCCAGGATTATGTAGGATCCTCGCTTATATGGCCCGGACAATAGTAGGTTTTATCCTTATAATAGAGCTGTATCAAAACGGGGTACCAGTCAAATTTGTCACCCCCATATTTAAAAAATAAAAACTTTGCAATGGTTTTGTTTTATATATTTATTTAGTAAAAAGGAAGCCACATTTTCGAACAAACAGGTTCTTCTTAGAAAACTGTTTTTTTTATACTGAACATTCAAGAGGACGGAAGGAATAAAAAAATGCGGTTTTCACCTGAATATTCTTTATGAATGGCTCCTTTCATTTCTTGTCATGTCACTCATTCTCTAAGAAGAAATTCTTGATGATAATCTAGCAAAATTATTGTTTTTAATTAAACCTATACTTTTAGTATTTACAAAATCTTGTACAAAAATTTAATGCTAAACTTGGTGGTGTCAATGGAATGGTATCTTTAGCTCGAGCATTAACATCATCATCAACAAAAGATGATATATT